TTCCCATCCCCCCCAGCCCACCATCAAAATCTCTATTTCCTCTTCCCAAGAAGATATATGTGTCCCCTCTAGAACCCTCCTTGTTACTTAGCCTTTCTGGATCTATGGATTGTAGTATGATTATCATTTACTTAACAGCTAATATCCACTTGTAAGTGAGCATATACCATGTTTGTCTTTATGGGTCTGGGTTGCCTTACTCAGGATGATTTTTTTTCTAGTTCCCTCCATTTGCCTGTAAATTTCACGATGTCATTTTTTATAACAGCTGAGTAATACTCCACTGAGTAAATGTACCACATTTTCTCTATCCATTCTTTGGTTGAGGGACAGCTAGGTTGTTTCCAGTTTCTGACTATTATAAAAAAAAATGCCACGATGAACATAGTTGAGCAAGTGTCCTTGTGGTAGGATGGAGGTCTTTTGAGTATATGTCCAAGAGTAGTATAGTTGGGTCTTGAGGTAGCTTGATCCTCAATTTTCTGAGGAAATGTCATATTGATTTCCAGGATAGTGGCTATACAAGTTTGCATTCCCCTCAGCAATGGAGGAGTGTTCCCTTTGCTCCACATCCTCACCAACATGAGCTGTCACTTGTGTTATTGATCTTAGCCGTTCTGACAGGTGTAAGATGGAATCTCAGAGTCGTTTTTGATTTGCATTTCCCTGATGGCTAAGGTTGTTTCAGTGTTTTCTCAGCCGTTTGAGATTCCTCTATTGAGAATTCTATGAAGTGGAGTCTTATCTAGACAAAGCTGGTCATTTGGCCATGTGGTCATTGTTGTGGTTCATAGGTGTTACAGCTCGGCAAGACTACAGAATGCTTTCCTACTTGGAAGCATTGTAGCACCTCTGGTACCATGACAGCTAGTCCTCCGAGAACAGGTTTTCATGATTTAGTCAGGGTCTTCTAAGTCTTGTGTACGAAGTGCATGATGTTTTCAGCATTAGGGTTGAATACCTTCAACCTCTGGGAGGCAACTAAGAGCAACAGCAATAACCTGCATTCTTTTGGGGTTTCTTGGACTGTGCCCACCAACTAGGAAGGGGTTTCTCATGCCTGACATTGGGGTTTTTGTTAGCTTTTGTTTATGGTTCTTGTAGGGTGTATTGTTAATGCAACTGGAATAACTTCATTTCAAATGTATATGTATACATGTCCACTTACATGTATACAGTTATAGGTAAATAAGTAATAATATGGTTCCTTGATCTATTTGAAATGTATTTCACAATCTTCATATTTTTAAAAATATGTTCAAATCTAGATGAAATTATCAAAGTTGAGATGATAACTTTCCCATATATTTATTTTAAGAAAATAAGATTTTGCTTCTTTGCTCCAGCTAACAGTGATATGTTGTTTGTAAACTTCATTAAAATAATATAGATAATTCACTTCTAACATTTTTTCTAGCATTCTAGATTAAATTTACAATATTCCCCTCCCCACACACTGGCTTTAAGATTTAGCACTGTTTTAGTTTTGTTCCTGTTCTACTTCAACTTCTTCATCCCAAGGCTTTCAATTTTAATTCACTTCCTATGGTTCTGGTGATGTAGAAGAGATGGGAAGTAATAAAGTTGATGTTATAAAGGAAATGAGCAGATTTGCTTAGAAGACATTAAGTCACACGAAGCAGAATTTAGCTTAAGGAGCACTGACTCCAAAATACCCCAAAAATAAGTGGTCTGCTAATCAGGCCTGTTAGAGGCAAGAAAATTTAGGATGCTGGGATGTTCACCAGCCATTAGGATCCATTCCCATAACAAAAGGAGACAGCCCTGACTTACCAACAGCCTTTATCCCCATTTCTCCATCTGAGAACAAGCGTCCAACAGGTGACTCAACTGGGTAGCACAGGGTGACAATCGTCATGGCCTGCCATAAAGCCCCAGTTCTCTTCTTGAGAAGAACATAATTCTGCCAGGTGGGTAAGATGAGCCTGGATAGCAACTATTTGAAAAAGAGGAACACTGATGTACATAAAATCATTCCGGCAATAACCAATATCTTTCCTGTGTGATCTTCCATCTGCCAGGTGGTCAGACTTGCAGTCTCTTGTCTTTGTTTAAATAGTTCAAAGTACAAACGAGGGGCAGCACCAGAAAGAGATTTATGGATGCCAGCATGTGTGGAATGCATAAGCTTCTTCCAAGATCCCTCAACAATATGGCTGCCTAAACAAGACCTGAAGAAGTGTACCAATAGACAAGCTAATGTGGAAGGAGGCAATCTCCCAGAGCTCCACTCATAGACAAAGAACTGCAGGTAGCTAAGGAATGCTGAAAGGTGGAGAAAGAGTCTTCCCCAAGCATGAGCTCCCCAACTCCGTTATCTAGTACTAAGTGGTCACTGGCCCCTTGGTGAAGGGGAGAACATATATCATAGATATATAGCAATAGCAATCATTGGCAAAAAAAAAAAAAAAGACCATGATTTCACAAGGGACAGGGGAGAAAGTATTGGAGAGAGAAGAGGTATGGGAGAGAAGAAAGGGAAGGGAGGAAATGATGTAATTATATTTTAATCTAAAAAATATCTTAAAATTTGCCTGAGTATAGTAGCACATGACTTTAATCCCAGGACCCCTTAATCCCAGGACTCTGGAGGCAGAGGCATTTGGGTCACTGTGAGTATGAGGCTAGCCTGGTCTACAGAGTGAGTTCCAGGACAGCGAGTGCCACGTAGAGAGACCCTGTCTCAGAAAAACAAATAAATAAATTTTAAAATAAATGAGAAGATAGCAAAATACATTTCAAAATGATTATATACTTTCTAAATTATTACAGAAAAATAAATGAAAATGTATATAGAACTAAATGACATTGACTATAAAATGAAATACCGTAAGAAAACAACCCCCCAAATCCATATAACTTTATTATAAATACTAAAGGGGTGGAATAGTTTCTTATTTCTTAGCATCAATCTGTAACTTTATTTAAGATCGAATGAACATCATCTCTTACTATTATGAACCTCTTGGTAATTTTGAAATAGTGTATTAATAGTTGTGGTACAACAGGAAATGTCCCCCGTAAACTCGTGTATCTGAAGATTGGGGACATTTAGGAAGAACAACCTTGACGCAGGAAACAGGTCACTGGGGACCAGCTTTGAGAGCTCACATTCTGGCCCCACTTCTAGCGCACTCTCCCTGTTTGTGGTCCAGGATATCCCAACATCCTCCTCCTTCTGCCATGTTTTCCTCTAGACCTGCGCTTGCTGCCATGATGGATTCTTACCCATCTGGAACCACAGCCAAAACAAATGTTTTTTTTTTTCCCCTGTAAGTTGCCTTGGTCATGGTGTATTATCAGAGCAATAGAAAAGTAACTAATACAATAAATAATATATCAAATAGAAATATTATAATAAATTATTCTCCATATGTCAGACAGTAAGTACATAGCTTTTAATATTTTTATAAGTTGACAATTTTGTATTAAGATATTCATATATGAACTTCCAGTATTTATTTATCATCCATTGCTACATAAGCAGTTTATCCTAAAACTTAATTACTCAAAACCAGCCATGTTTAGCGATTGATATCCAGAACAAATTCAGCTTTAAAACAGATCAAAGAAACAGAGGTTTCTCCAAGACGGTATACAAATAGCTAATAAACACGTGGAAAATATGCTTCAAAAGTACTAGCCACTGGGGGAATGTAAATCATAACCACATCGAACGTCAGCAAAATGGCAGAATAGGAAACCTCTGTCCCTCCCACCTCCCACGAAGATGTCCGTTCGAGAACAGCGCACACGGTCTGTCTGAGATGGCTCAGAAAGTAAAAGGGATTCTGTGTGGAAGGCAGAAGCAACTCAGGAAAGCTGTCTTCTCACTCCACCCAGATGCCAAGCACATTCATCATACACATACACACACACCACCACCACCACCACCACCACCACCACCACCACCACTACCACCACCACCACCACAAACCACTACTCCCACTACTAAATTAAAATGTAAATGATAAACAATGTTCACAGTTCTCTGTGAGAAATCTGGAAGCCAGTTAAGAGGCCCCTTCACACCAGGTGAGCACAAACCCAGCTACATCAAAGCCAGAGGGAACCTTTGCAGCACACTGGCTCAGGAATCTGTTCCCTTGGTCCAGCTCCACACAGGTGGAAAGAATTCCTAATACTTGGATAGTCCCTGGGGAGAGACAGAGATGGACCGTGTATGCATAGCTCTAATTCGAGAGAAAGGGTACACGAGGAAATTCTTCTGTCTTGTGAGTCTCACAGAACTGAGGGGACCTAGAGTTGTCTAAATGACTGGAAACAGCGCATGAAAGAGCAGAGCTGTGCCCCACTGCTCCAGAGTGCCCTCAGCATACCAGACACAGGCAGATATTGTCATAGACTTGCCCTTGGGGAGAAGACCGGAGCATGCATCTAATGTTCCTATTTTAGGGGGAGAGATATATATGAGGTCTTGGTGTCTTTCATGTATGCCTTAGTGCACCGACAGGACCTAGCATACTGTAGATACTTGAGGGCTTCTGAAAAGAAATAAATGGGTGAGATGCTGCTCCAGCAGACTCAGGAATACAGCAGGGGACAGGCCAGTTGGGTGACTTATCCCCACCCCCTCTTGGGGAATGAGAGAGAAGAGTGCGTTCAGTATTCTGACTTTTTAAGAGTCTGGCCAAAGCCAGGCAGTGGTGGTGCACGCCTTTAATCCTAGCACTCAGAAGGCAGAGCCAGGAGGATCTCTGTGAGTTCGAGGCCAGCCTGGTCTACAGAGCGAGATCCAGGACAGGTACCAAAAGTACACAGAGAAACCCTGTCTCGAAAAATCAAAAAGAAAAAGAAAAAAAAAAAAAAAGACTCTGGTTGAGGAACTTTAATTGTTTTAACCAAAATGCCAGAGGGAAAAACTTCAGGGAAGAACAATTTATTTTTGACTCATGCTTCAGTCTATGATTCCTTAGCCTTTCACACTTGAGTAGAAGAGTATCCAGTGGGAGAGCAAGTGGATAAATTGTTCATTTTATAAGGGATGATATAGGACAAGGCCAGAGCAAGATATATCCCTAAAACATGAGGCCAGTGGCGACTTACATTCTCCAACTAAGTCACACCTCCTACTTTACACCCCTCCCAACAACAGCATCATGTTATGAATCCATAAAAACATTAACCCATCTCTTAGGTCATGACCCTCACGAACTCATGACCCTCATGAACTAACCCTCTCTGGAAATACCCTTCCAGACATAATCTCAATCCGATCAAGTTGATGGTCAATATTAACCATCCAAAACTTGTTTGTGTAATCAAAAATCAGACACTGTCCAGGCATTACATACGCTAGATGACCAAAGCCTGCTATGGGCCAAAATTCTGCGCTCTGTGTTATTATTCTACTGGACATACAATATAGCCAATAGGCAGAGGGACTGTGTTCTTCAGACTTTTCATCACTGGGGTCAACACCTGAAAGGAATAATTTAAAGGGGAAAAGATGTATTTGGGCTCAGTCTTCCGGAGATGTCAGGACAGGATTGGCTGGATCACATTTGGGTCGTGACTTAAGGCAGGACATCGCGGCAGCGAGGAAACACAAGACAGAGGGAAGGGAGGGGTCAAGATGTCTTCTCACTAAGTAGGCCTACTTCCTTTAACTAGACTCTGCCTCTTACTTCTTACGACCCCCTGTCATTATATTGTGAATCCAGCAAGTGGTCAAAGCCCTTAGGATCCATCCAACCAGTCACTGTCCAAAACCTCCTCAGCTGGCAACAAGCACCCAGCGTGAGGATCTGCAGGTGACATTCATTTTCAAACTGTAATACTCCATCTCTGACCCCAAAGGGGTCATAATGCAAAAAACGTATGGTTTCTCCCGGCGAAGCTCCATAAACACACAGCTCCATCTTTTCTCGAAATTCCAAGTTCAAAGTCTCCTCAGGGCTTCAAAACCAACTTTCAGCTGTGATCCTCTGTTAAAAAAAGAAAAAGAAAAAGGTTACAAACGTCAACATACAGGGAAGGCACGGTCATTGTAAAGGAAGGAAGAGTAAGAAGAGAGAAGGGCTGACGGGACTCGATATCGGCAAGGAGCTGAAGCAGCCACCCTGAGGGAAAGCCCCGATGCGACACACCAACACACCGGCTGTTTCCTTACTTCTCAATTTCTTACTTTCTACCCTTCACTTTTTCTTTCAGTTCCCCCCTCCCCCAAAAGGGTTCAGCTGAAACAAAGGACAGGCTGCTTCAAAGGTGAGTTAACATTTCCCCTAAAGATGTCTGCCTCTCTTCGTAACCGACAAATGATCGCCCCCCCCCCAACATTTTATTCCTCAGCTTTGAGGGCTTCTGGGATAGAGATCCTGTTTCTGAAATTTCTTACGTCTGACTGGGGTTGCGGGTAGGTGTGCTGTATCCTCCTAACGTAGAAGAATGAAGCTGTTAGAGTCTGCAGGTGAACTTTTAGGATGGGCAAGAGCAGGCTGCTGCAGTATCATAGCCAGAGTTCCCTTGGCGATTGTTTCTGCTCTAACAACTGTTCTCTGGTAACAGTTTTCCCGTGTTAGTTACATCTCTGTATGAACTACGTGAGGAAACAATGGAAAGGTGGGGACATTTATTTAGGGTCCCGGTTTCTGGGGGCCAATCCATGTTCTCTGGTGTCGCGGAGCACTGGGGGAGTGGGACCCTGTCAGGGAGTTTCTTCAAGTTATGCCGCGGGCCAGCAAGGGAGAGGAACCTGGGAAAAGATACAGTCCCTCAGCATACGCCCCCATGAGCTGCTTCTCCAGCCAGACCCCACCTCCTAAAATTCCCAGTACTTCAAACAGTGGGCAATGTTGTAATCTATTCATCTTTATACATTGTTTTCCAAGTGTGTTGGCATTAAAATTCAGACATTTTTATCCCAATGCCTTTTAATCAGACAGGGTCGATTTCTCTGTTAGAAGTGTAACTTTGTTTTATTTCTAGTCTCTGAGATTGTTCCCATGACATTGACTTCACTAAGTTGTCTGAGATGAGAACCCTAAGAGATAACTAACTTCTCAGGAAGTCATTCGATATCCTCCGTTTACTTCTGGCTTTCTCTTCCACGGATTTAAAATACTTCCTAGTAATGGACCAGAGTCTCTCATTCAGACGGTAGCAGAGGGATTTCTGTTAATTCATACTCACATTGGAGTCTAAGATTGCTGTTGCTGTGGCTAACCCAGTGAATGATGAGCCTCAGATCTTTCTGGGAATACCTGGGTTGGGGTAAAGGTTACTTGCCCAAGCTGTTCTCTGAATGTCTGTTTGGCTTTGGGTTCCTCTGCACATTTTTTTAAAAATTGAGTCCCGCACTTTGTAGCGCTCCCTAGAAAGAATCTGAATCCCATAATTCTAGCTGCATCCCATTCTTACTTGACATATTGGGGTGTTACTATGACTCGGGTTATTTCAAAGAACTAACCTTAGGGCTCAGAACCCCTTCTGCTGGAGCGAGGCTTTGGTTGAGGTCGTCAGCTGTACTTGCCTTTTTAAATATGATCTACTGAATTCTTCAGCTCTGGGATTTCAATCTGGTTCTTTTTCTTTTTTTTAATGATCTCATCTCTGTGATTAATTTTTAATTCAGATCATGAATTGTTTTCCTGATGTTGTTGAATGGTCTATTTCTTTGAATCCTGAAATGTTTCCTTAGACATCTTATGAGGAATGATTTCCAGGCATCTTAGCAATGTCCTTTACCTTTTGTTATTTCCTAGAGTTACTGTGTTCCTTTTGAGGCACCCTGCTAATTGCTTTTTGATGGTGCTAGAGTCAATGAATTTGCATTTGGACAGCTGATCTGTTATCTACGTGGGTTTTAGAGGGTGGCCTTTATAGTAAAAGGCATTCTCCTGAAGATGCATCTTAGGGTATCATTTCTGGTGGTTAGCCTGACTTTGGCTTTAACTGGACACAGTAGTCTCATCTCTACATAGCTTCTTTACTGCAGTTGATGGCTTTGGGCACAGTGCATGTAGTAATAGGGCAAAGGAGGCCTTCAGTCTCCACAGGCCACCCTGGGAGAAGATCACTCCAACAGAGCAGTACACAGTACCAGGAACAGGACACCCATTGACCGGTCACTGCAGGGGGCCCAGACTGGTGCAATGCAACACCCATAACAGCAAGAACAAATTCTCATTGGCCATGTAGTGTTAGGGGCCACAAAGGGCGGAGCTTTTCTGTCCAAAGGCCACTTGGATGCCTTTGCAAGGCATTATGGGTGATGACTGACTAGATACAGGCTTTCCAGCTTTTTCCTTTGGCTGAGTTTGGTGAGCAGGTCAACCTAGCTGCTTCTGAGAGGCTGAGATCCTCAGGGTGAGTGGGCTTCCTGGCTGCTCCTCAGAGGTAAGGGGTTGGCAGGTTCAGGTAGGTAGTAGACAGGCTGACTAAGCCTCTGGGACAGCTTTCCCCACCGTTTCAGAGGACTTTGAGTGGGCAGGCTCTCAAAATGACACTACAGCAGGGGTCTGGGGTAGGGTGGGCACCACGTAGCTCATTCTCCATCCCTAGCAGCTCCCCATACTTGGCAAGTGGCCTATGAGGGGGTGGGCCTCTCCAAAAGCGGTTCCTTCGGGTGTCTATAAGCAAGTCCCTTCTGATTCAGACTTAGTTCCTGACTTACACAGTGGAACGGTGACTACATGCACTAAATCCCCGTCTTTGTGAGGCCATGGTGCAGCTCTGTGCTCTACAGCATCTCTGCCTCATCTTCGCCATACCCAGGTGCTCTGCTTCAGAGCCTGCAGCAGGATGGGTCTTCTTTGTTTTGGTCCTTCCTCATAGAGACTATAATGCTTAATCTTGATTGCCAACTTGATTGGATCTAGACTCACCTAGCAGGCATGTCCCCAGATACACGGGTGAGGGGTTATTTAGATTAGGTTTGCTTTTGGGTTTGGCTGTAAGGGATTATCTTGATTAGTTTAATGGAGGCGGGGGAACCACCTTAACTTTGTAATAGCATGGTTCCTTGGGCGGGGGGTGGGGTGGTCCTGGACTAAGCAGCAAAGATAAAGCAAGCTGAGCACCAGCATCCATGTCCCTCTGCTTCCTGACTGCTGATTAATGCGAGCAGCTGCTCAAGCTCCTGCTGTCACGCCCTCCTCACCACGATGGACCGTATCCCTTCAAACTGTAAGCTCTAATACCTTTCCTGGAGTTGCCGTTGTGAAGGATTTTGCACCAGAAACAGAAAATGAAGCTAACGCAGAGAGGAATACACCCACCACTTCTAGTCATCCATTCTGCTGCAGCTGGACCCCCTTAGAGTAGTCATGATGGGAAGGGGAGGGAGGGTCTCTGATGTTCTAATTAGGTTTCCATTTTAATCAGACACTAATTCTTAGAAGTCTCCACTGGTGTTCCCACCCCTCCTCCACATTCACTGCTGATTCTAGATTCTGTTCTTGCCTTTCTCCCAGGGACAAACACTGTTTCCCTTTTCCTCCTCTCAGGAGCGGTGAGTGTCTAAACTGTCAAAGGATATAATGTTCCCACCTGTCTTTGCTGCATACGGGACTCTGGCCTAGAGAGATAGGCTAAGACAGGGCAGATAGGACAGATGGATTCTTGGCAGAGGATGGTGGCTTCTATTCTCCTCACCCAACCAAGGAAACTTAATGTACTTAATGAGGAAAAACTTTCTCACAATTTCCTACAATTTTCCTTGTGAGCTCCTACTAGGATTCTTAGAGCAAAACTCTGCAAGGGGTAAACACCAGTGAGTTCACTATATCACCAGCCACACTCAACCTTTAGCAGTTAATTATAAAATTATAGGTGAGGAGCTGGAGAGATGGCCCAGTGGTTAAGGGCATTCACTGGCTGCTCTTACAGGGGACCCAGGGTTCAATTTTCAGCACTCATATGGAGGCTCACAATCATCTGTAACTCCAGTTCCAGGGGATTGGATGCCCACTTCTGGCAAAATAAGCCCCCCCCCCCACAAATAAATAAGTAAATCATTAAAAATAAGTACATTTCCAGGCAATGATTGTTGCTGGTTTAGATGGGTCTGAAGGAGCCCACACTGTTTCCCAGATATGAAGCAGTGCCTTCCCAGATTTTGTTAATTATTTTTTTACTGTGACCTCAGTTCTCTTAAAAGCTCAAACAGTTTTATTAGCTTGCATTTTGTCCAACACTTTTTCTTTTTCATAAGGGTGGGAGCAACTCTTTCTAGCTCTCTACATCTTTAAGATAAAGCTAGAATTAATCTCTATACTTTTCCATATTTTTTCTCTAAAATCTAACCCAGCATGGTGTATACCCTTAAATCCCAGCAGAGGCAAGTGGATCGCTGTGAGTTCAAAGACCAATCTGGTCTACATATTGAGTCTAGCCAGCAAGACTATGCCCCTTCACAAAAAAAAAAAAAAAGAAGAAGAAGAAGAAGAAGAAGAAGAAAAAGAAAAAGAAAGTATATTCTGACATGAGTTCTTTGGATATAAGGTCAACATATATAAACAAGATGTTTCCACACATACAAGAAAAAAATGTTAAATGTCATTTAAATAAATAAAAACTGTTAGCTCATCAACCAGTATTGGTTAGAGAACAAGAAGGCAAGTCACAAACCAGAAGGTCTTTTAAAAAATGGTTTATTTTTATTTTTATGTGTATGGATGTCCTACAAACCCTTATAGGAAGATAGAAAACTGAATAGAAAAGACGAGCAAATGGTATCTAAATGTTCAAAAATCTCAAAAAACGCTATCTAAAAGTTCAAAAGTCCAGTTACCACACAAAAAGCACTTAGCTTCCCTAGTCATCAGGGAAATGCAAACTAGACCACAGTGCAATCTACTCACCCACTCAGTAGAGCTAAAATTGAAAATTCTGTTGATTCTGAATGTTGCCTAAGTAGTTGGAACAAATACAAATCTCAAACACACTGGTTTGAGGGGGAAAAAAATTGGTATGTCCACTCAGGTTGAACATGTGCATAATAAGTATCTAGGTAATGGTCTATTCCACTGCTTAGTGACCGGGAACAACACACACATATGTGTTCTTGCTTTTTCTGTGTCAGGACTGTGGAAGAGACTCAGCTGTCTGATTTGGGCCTGAAGGTCTCTCGTGAGTTATTAGTAGATATCAGCTCTTCTGATATCAGCTCTCCTTGGCTTCTCCTCATATAGAGATCTCTCTATAGACCAGCTCAATGTTCTCCTGAAATGACGGCTGGTTTCTCATAGCTACAAAGCCTATTTGATTTACTCTTGGGCACAACACACCCTGACTTCTCCTATTCTGTTCATTAGACATGAGTCATTGTAGCTCACATGTGAGGGTTATGGATGTATCCTCTTTCTTCTGAAGGGAGGAGGATTGAAGAATTTATGGACTGATCTTAAAATTGCAGCATGTACCCAATAACCCATTTTTTTTAACCTTTAGCTTCAAAAGCAAAAATAGCTATATGTGTACCTAGAAAGATGTACAAAATATAATACCATCATTCACATAGCCAAATAGTAGAAACAACACTAATGTCTGTCAATAACAGTGTGGCTAAATTTTTTAGCATATTCTAATATAATGGATCACTATTCAGTAATGAAAATGAACTATATAAATACATCTTAAACATAGATGAATCTCATGAATATATAATTAAGCAAAAGAGATACACCCAGAATGTGAACTAGATTATTTTTAAATAAACATTGTATATAAACACTTATATAAAAGGAGGCAGAATTAATCTATAACGTAAGAAGATGGCATTTACCTTCAGAATAGGAAGAAGGAA